TTTTAAATGTGGTTGAGTTTATCTTCTAGTCTTCATGAGTAGTGCTTTTGATCTTATCGAAGTTTTTCCAATAGAATAATTGAAGGTATTTCCCATTCTTACAAAAGTTTTTTTTTTTTTTAACCTTTTTCTTCTGTATTTTAATGTATCTGGAACTGTTTTTCAGTGTAGTGAAATGTGGTGATCCAAATGCGTATTTTTCTCTCAAAAAGTATAAAAATTTTCCCATCACTTTTTATGAGGTAGATTTCCCCCAATAAATACTATCCTGTATCATTCCATTCAGCCATTCTTCTTTTGTCCTTGAGTCTTCTGTCTATATTAATAGCACTGTCACATTGTTTTAATTTCTGTAATTTTGTAACAGCTTCCATAAAAACTTACTGATATATATGGCACAGAAAATGCAGTATGGTATGACAGTTATTTACATAGCACTTACATTGTATTAGGTATTATAAGTATGCTAGAGATAATTTAAATTACACAGGAATATCTTTGTAAGTTGTATATAAATTCTATGCCATTGTATACTATTTAAAGGACTTGAGTATCTTTTGAATATTGGTAGTTGTTGGGATCCTGGAACCAATCCCCCTTGGATACCAAGGGATGACTATATTCTGTAGTATACTCTTGTTTCTGCCCCCCCCCCAGTTTAGTTTGCAAGATTCATCCTTAATGGTATATATAGATGCCCCTCAATATACTGTGATGCCTCACTAAAAACTTGTCATAACTGAAAATATTGTAAGTCAAAATTCAGAAAACACTTTAGGCATACTGGCACATACCTGTGATCACAGCTATTCAAGAGACTGAGCAGGAAGATTGCAAATTCAAGGCTAGCCAAGCAGTTCAGTGAGAGCCTATCTCAAAACAAAGAGCTGGGTATGTATTTCAGTGGTAGAGCACACCTGGGTTTGATCACTAATAGTACAAAAGAGTAAATACAAATTTTACAGGAAATAGGGATATATTGTAGCTCAGTGCTCTCTGGGTTCAATCTGTAGTACCATAGACACATGCCACATTCAATAAACCTAACCTACAGAACATCGTCATACTTGAGGAACACTGTAGAATGTCTTTTTACCCTCAAGAGCAAGTGGCTCATTGGGAGCTCTGGTTCTTTTCTGCATCACTAACCTTCATTTTGTTAGCCTCAGAAAAAAAATCAAAATTTGAAGTATAGTTTATACTAAATACTTTTTAACACCATTGGAAAGTTGGAAAAATTTTAAATGGAACCATCACTATTTGGGGACTGTTTGTGGCTGTAGTTTATTTATTCTTTTTCACTAGTGTTGTAGTATTCCAGGTGCTCCACATCCTTGTCTGCCCATTTAATTTTAGACACTGGTGTATGTGTAGCAGTTTTAATTTGCATTCCTCTAATGAGTAGTGATTTTAAATCACTACTTTCATTGCTCATTTTGGTCATCTTTGGTGAAGTGGCATGTGAAAGTTTTGACTCATATTGGGCCAGCTTGTCTTTTTTTATACTGATTTGTAGAAATTTATACTGGATACTAAATCTTGCAGATTATGTTTTGCAGATATCTTGTTTCCTCTTCCCGTGAGACCATTAAAATTTCTGGTTGACTTCTCAATATCTCCGTTGTATTTTGTCCATTAGCAGATACCTGTAGGGGAAAAAAACGTCTCAAGAGACTCAATTTTTTAGGCCTCCATTCTTTCCAGTCTTCCTCTCTCAGGCCCTTGCTGCCTTTGTAGTGCTTCATGTCTTCAAACACTTTTATTATGTTCAGTTGTTCAAGTTCTCACAGGGAGGATTGGTTTGAAGTGGTGTACTAAATCGTTGAGGGACAGAAGTACGAAAGTCCTCTGGCCTTGTAGGTTTTCAGGGAGCGTTTTGGCTGTTTGCTCCTGCATATAATTTTAGAATCATCTTTTTAAATCTCAGTCTCTCGTTCTTGCTCTCTTGCACATGTTGCTGAGGTTTTGATAGGAAATGCACATAATCTGTAAATCAGTTTGGAGAGAATTATATATATATTTTTAACCATGAACATTGCAGGCTTTTTATTAGGTCCTTTAAGGCATCTTTCAACAAAATTTCCTAATTTTCAGTATAACTGTTGCAAATTTTTTTTTCTAGGCACTTTATAGTAGGTCTTAAATGTTTTAATAATTATATTTTTACCTTACTGTATACATCATTTGATTTTGTGTAACAACCTTGTTATACTCCTAATTATGATAAATTATTTGTGGACTTCTTTTGAATTTCTCAATGCAGACTGTCTTATCCATGTATAGGACCTCTTTGTTTTCTCTATTCTCCGTCCCTCTCCCCCATTCCGCCCCTGTTCTCTCTCTCTGTCACTTTCTTTTTTCTTTTTCTTTCTCTTCTTGCGTTTTCTTTCTTTCCCTTTCTTTCTGTCTTTCTCGCTCTCTCTTCTTTTCTTTCTTTCTCCTTGTCTTACTGTGCTGGCTAGGATTTCCAGTGCAATGTTGAGTAGAAGCTGTGATGGGGGCATCCTGATCTTGTTCCTTATTTTAAAAGGAATACTTTCAAAGTCTGTGTATCTTACAAGATCATGTAATTTTCTTATGTAATTTACTAACATAATGAATTACTTTGGTTGATTTTCTCTTACCAACCTTATCTTACAATTATTCATTCAACCCCAGTTTGTCCATTTTCTCATATTAGACTCAATTTGAAGAGACTTAATTTAGGATTTTTGGATCTAATAATGAATAATACTGACTTCTAATTTAAAAAGAAAAACTTTTTCTATTCGAAAAATTTGAATGCTTCTCCTACCCCCACTGTAGATTGAACCCTGGCTGCCATACGTGGTAGGCAGGTGCTGTACTTCTGAGCTACATCCTCAGCCCACAATGATCTTTTCATTAAGTGTTTTCTAGAACTTGTCTGTAAAATAGTTACTGACACTTTTTTTGAAGGATGCCTCTTAGTCATCGATCCAGTTGTTATAGGACTGTTGACACTTTCAGTTGTAAAACCACATTTACTACATTAAGTCAGCCTCTTTTGTAGTACTTGTAAGTAATATCCCTTTTACCTAGTTTTGAAACATCTTCCTTCTTTTGACCTTGATTTTTTTAAGCTAAAAGTTTGCCAGTTTTTAAAGTCTTCCCAGATAATTCAGCTTTTATGTTTATTTTTTATTTTTTAGTACCGGGAATTGAACTCAGGGCCTTGTGCCTTGTGCTGCTGAGCTACATCCCTGGCCCCAGATAATTTTTAAAGTTTGTTTATGTCTTTTAATGTATCGTTTTCCCATTTTATTAATTTCTGTTCTTCATGTCTTACACTTTTGTTTTTTTTCTGTTTACTTTTCTTATTTCTTAAGTTGGGTGCCAATCATTAATTTTCAGTATAGGCATTTGAGACCATTACTATCTTTGAATTGCTTTTTCTGTGTCACATGTTTTGATATGTATTATTTTCATTGGTATTTTTTTATTTCTCACTGAATTGTTTAATTTATGAGTTATTTAAAAATCTTTTTCAAACATGTAGGAGTTTCTTAAGCTAATTTGGTTATTGATTTGTCATTGCATTGAGGTTAGGCAGCATAGTTTGCATGAAACAGGTTCTTCAGAACTCATTGAGACTATCTGATCAGTTTGTATAATTTTTGTACGTGAAGAGAATGCATATTTTCCAGTTGTTGGTACAAAAACTATTATATATGTCCAGGAATTAGGCTTGTTATATTGTTCAAATCTTATGTCTTCATTTTCTTTAAAAGAGCAGAAGTATATTCATTCTATAGTAGATTGATTTTTTTTTTTTCTTGTAGTTCTACTAGTGTTTTAAACTATATTTAAAAATGGGTACATGAAAGTTTCGATTTATTTTCCTGCTCAATTGAAACTTTGTAGAGAATTTATATCTAAGAATCCTTTTTGTATTAAATACTACTGCTTGCTCTTAATTTATCTAGATTATTTTTTCTTTGAGTTAGTTAATTTTGCCAGTTTTTTATCCCCTCCTTTCACATGTGCACATGTTTGTGTTCTTTTAGTTTTATCTCTTGTAAATAGTATGCTATAGAAATATTAAAAATTTAAGTCTGGCTTGATGGTCTTGGTTTTTGTGATCTTATTTTAATTAATTAATTGATTAATTTTTGCAGTTCTGAGGATTGAACCCAGGGTCTTCACACTGAGCTACATCCCTAATCCTTGTATTTTTTATATTTTTATTTGAGGTAGAATCTCAATAAGTCACTGAATTGCCCAGGCTGGGTTTAAATTTGCAGTCATCCTGTCTCAGCCTCCTAGGGTACTGGGATTACAGGTTGTACACCACCATGCTGGCTGGTCTTTGAAATTTTCACTTACTGTACACTTTTGATGAAGGTAATTGTCAGTTCCTTGCAAGTTGTAAGAAATAATATAGCCATCCCATTTACTGTTTATCCAATTTTCCTTATTGATAACATCTTGCAAAATCATAGCACAGTATCACAAACATGCAATTGACACTTCTGATAATCAATGTACAGACCTTTTTTTTAATCACAAGGATTCCTTCATATTATTATTTTGTATTCACACATAGTTTTCTCCAACCCATTACCCCCTAGCTCCTAATCTCTAAGACCCCATAACCTGTTCTCCATTTCAGTGTGAGGACCCATGTGATTTTTGTCTTCAAGAATGTTATATAAATTGAGTCACACAGTATGTAGTTCCTGGGTTCTGCCTTTTTCATTCAGCATAATTCTCAGGAAATTAATCTAGACTGTTACATATTTATTGCTGAGTAGTATTTTGTGGTGTGAACTTACTACAATTTAACAATTCATTTGTTAAAGGACAGTTGGGGTTTATGATTTTTTGGCTGTTATGAATAAAAGTTTTATTAAGATTTGTATATGTTTTCTGTGAACAGAAGTGTTTCATTCTCTGGGATAATGAAACTCAGGAATTCAGTTACTGGGTCTTATGATTATTGTATATGTAGTTTTTAAAGAACTTACTAAACTCTTTTCCAGAGTTGCTGTTCCATTTTACATCCCTACCAGCAATATATGGAGTGATCCAGTTTCTCTGCATCTTAGCCACCATTTGACGTTATCACTGTTTTTCATTTTAGCCATTCTGGTAGGTATCCAGTGATATAACAGTGAGGTTTTAATTTGTGTTTCCTTAATGGCTAATGATGTTAACATATTTTCATGTGCTTATTTGCTATTTATATTTCCCCAGTGATGAAGTATCTCTGCATGCATTCTTTTTGTAGTGAAATTGTCCTTTTTATTTTTCATGTTGAATTTTGTCAAGTGTCCAGCTTGCAAATATTTTCTCTGAGCCTTTTCATTCTTCTACAGGAGTCTTTAGCTGGCCTTAAGTTTTATTTTGATGAAATCCAAGATGTCATCTTTTTCTCTTAAAAATCTTTTAGTGTAACATTTAAGAAGTGGCTGCCTACATCTAAATTCTGAAGATTTCCCTTTTTTTTTTTTTAAAGTTTTACAGTTTTACGTTTATCTGTGATCCATTTGGTATAATATGTGAGACGTGTGTGTGTGTATGCATATTTTTAAATTTATGAATATCCTGTTGCTTTGCTGTTTGCTTTATCCCAGTTGCTTCAGCACCATTTGTTGAAGGCTGTCTTTTAATCTTTTTATACTTAACAATTATTTGGACATACTTGTATAGGTCTCTTTATGTTCCACTGAGCCATATGTCTTTCTGCTAGTATGAAACAATCTTAATTACTATAGCTGACTTGTGAGATGGGATACATTGATTCGTTTCCCACTGTATTTGTTTTTGTTTTATATTTGTGAGTATGCTGGGGATTTGTATTTGTGTTTCCTTAATGGCAAATGGTATTAAATATCACATACCCAAGGCTTTAGGCTTGGTACACAGTTCTTTTCTATTTATATCTCTGGCCATCTGTTCTTTTCAAAAGTTATTGTATCTTTTCTAGTCTTTTGCTTTTCTATGTAATTTTTAAAAAAAATTTTATCTGTATCTACAAGATGTTCCTGAGACTTGGATAGATAATGTATTAAACCTATGAAGTATATCATTTTGGGGAAAATAAACATTTTTTTCATGTTATGTCTTCCAACCTGTGAACAGTTCATTTGTTTAGATCATAATTTCTTGTCATTAGTCTTTTGCAGTATTGAATGTACACATCTTTTACTTGGTTTTTAGATATTTTTATCTAGGTTTGATACTTTAATATTCTTTGGGGTGGTTTTAAGTGGAATTATTTCTAGTTGTTTCCACATATGTTCGCTGTTAGTTTATACAGATGATGTGATTTGTTGTGTGTTAAGTTCATAACCTGTGACCTTGATGAATTCACTTATCAGTTGTAGAAGTTATTTTGCAGATTTGTTGGAATTTTTTGTATAGTCATCTGTAGATACAGGTTTTTTTCCATTTATAACTGATAGGTTTTTCCATCGCAGAGAGAAGTAAAACAGAATAAAATGCCTTTATTGTGGACGCGGAGAAGACCACAAGGAAAGAGAAAAACGTGGCTTCTAAGGATCTTTCCTGGGGTCCAAGGTTAAATAGCCCCAGGCTGGAGGTGGGGTTTAGGAGGCGAACTGCCTGACATGGCAGACCAGGATTGGGTGGGAGCGTGGGAAAAGGCAACAGGATATTACGAAAAGGGAAGTAAGAAGTTGTAATTTGACTCGGGAAGAAGGGTAGGACTTAGCACATGGTCTCTAGTGGCCAGCACCATGTTGGCTGGATGCCATAGTGACTCAGTACCATACCACATGACCTCCGGCGCCATATTGGCTGGGTGCCATAGCAACTCAGCAGGAATTACAGCGTGGCAAGAAACCAATGAATAACTTGTAAGTCTTTTTATTTCCTTTTTCTTGTCGTTTTCTGCCAGCTGGAACCATGCTGAATGAGTGGTAAGTGTAGGCCTCATTCCAGATTTAGGGGGAAAGCATTCATTTCACCATTAAGTATAAGCTTTAGCTTTTCTTTTCTTTTTTTTTTGAACATTTTTAGAATTTTGTTTTAAAGATAAAGAAAACATCTTAACAAACACACATTTAGAAAATAACACAAAAACAGTAAAAGCAATACAGAATCTCAGACAAGGTGATAGGAAATTAACAGTGGTTGTTGTATTACATATTGATATCCTCAATTTGGATACTCAGATCAACAAATACATACATGTAAGATTGATTATACATGTAAACATTAACTTCGTTTCAACAGAACGATCAAAGTCAGTAGTACAACTATGTTAGCTATCCTGTGTATACATATATATATATATATATTTTTTTTTTTTCCCCCTCATCCTAGTTGTTCTTCCCTTTTGAGCAGTTTCCTGCCCTTTCACAGTGTCTATTGTACCTGCTAGATTTTAGTTACTCTTTCAGGTTCTTACACTAGTGAGATAATAGTGTTTACACATGCAGGTCTGATTTATTTCACTTATGGGTATGGTCTCTAGTTGTGTCCATTTTGCTATAAAAGCCTTGAGATTATCTTTATTTATAGCTAAGTCATATTCCATTATGTAGAAATACCAAAACTTTTTTATCCATTCCTCAGTGGATGGGCATTTGGCTTGCTTCCATGATTTAGCTGTTATAAATTGTGCTGTTATAAACATGAGCGCATATATATCTCTGGGATAGGATGTTTTCAGTTCTTCTGGGAAAATACCCAGAAGAGGAGTAGCTGGATTGAATGGCACCTCTAGTTCTAGCTTACTGAGGAGTCTCCAAACTGATTTCCACAGTGGTTTCACCAGTCTGCACTCCCACCAGCAGTGGAGAATGGTTCCTTTTTCTCCACAGCCTTGCCAGCATTTGTTATTGGTTGATTCTTAACGATAGCCATTCTTACTTGGGTGAGATGGAATCTCAGTGTTGTTTTAATTTGCATTTCATGAATGACTAATGATGTTGAACATTTTCTCATGTATTTATTTGCCATTTGTATTTCTTTACGTGGGAAGTGTGTGTTCATCTCAGATGCCTGTTTTTGTATTGGGTCTTGGAATTTGAGGGGATGATGTTTTTAATTCTTTATATGTTCTAGAGAGTCCTTTGAAGGATAGTCAGCTAGAATTTTTACCAATTTGTGGGTTTTCTTTTTACTCTACTGGTGATTTCTTTAGATGTGCAAAAACTTTTCAGTAAGATGAGATCCCGTTTGTTGATTCTTGGAAGCGTTTCCCGTGCAGTTTGGCTTTTGTTCGTGAACTCTGTGCCTACTCCTTTGTCTTCAAGATTTTTACCTGCTTTCTCTTCCAGTAGATTTGGTGTTTCTGTTTTAATATTTAGATCTGTACTCCATTTGGACTGGAGTTGGTGCATAGTGATAGACATGGGTCTAGTTTCAGTCTTGGGCATGTGGTGAGCCAGTTTTTCTAGCACCATTTATTAAAGAGGCTATCTTTCTTCCAGTGAACTTGTTGGGCCCCTTTGTCAAATATAAGGTGGCTGAGTGTCTTTGTGTTTGTGGCTGCATCTTCCAGTCTGTTCCATTGATCCTCAGGTCTGTTTTTTTTGCCAGTACCATATTGATTTTATCACAGTAGCTTTGTAGTATAATTTCAAGTGAGGGATTGTGATGCCCCTGCCTTGTCTTTGTTGCCCAGGATCGCTTTTGTTAGTCTTGGTGTCTTCTGGTTCCAGATGAATTGTAGGAATGTTTTCTCTAGATCTGTGAGGTATTCTAATGGTATTTTAATTGGAATTGCATTGAATCTGTACAACAGTTTAGCAAGTATGGCCATTTTTACAATGTTGGTTCTTCCTATCCATGAGCAAGGAGTATCTTTCCATTTCCTGAAAGCCTCTTCAATGTCTTTTTTCAGAGTACTGTAGTTTTCACTGGATAGATCTTTTACTACTTTTGTTAGATTGATTCCTAAATATTTTAATTATTTGGATGCTATTGTAAAAGGTATGGTTTCCTTTAGCTTTTCTTATAGATGGTATTTAACAATTTGAAGTTCTATTCCTCTTTTTTCTGAGGGTTTTAAAAAAATCATGATTAGGTATTTGTCAGAGTACTCTTAATACATTGTAATTTTTAAATTAAAAATTGAGTTAAGTTTCTTGATTTAGAAGTTAAAAGTTTTGTTTTTCTTTTTTCTTTTTTGTGGTACTTAGAATGGAATCCAGAGCCTTTGCATGTGCTAGAAAAGCACTCTAATGTTGAACTATTTCCCTACCCTTTTATGTTTTATTTTTGACTCAGGGTCTTTCTGAGTGTCTCAGGCTGTCTCTGCTTCCTGGGTAATTGGTTTACAACTCAGTTCCATCTTGCTTGGCTAGAAGGGTAAATTTTTTTTTTTTTTTTTTTTTTGGTTTTTCTCCAGTACTGGGAACCGAACTCACGACCTTGCACTTGCCAGGCAGGCGCTTTTGCTGCTGAGCTAAATCCCCAGCCCCTTGGGTAAATTATTTTCTACTGAATGAGTTCTGGTATGTAGTTTTTCAGGGAATTGGTCCATTTCATCTTAAGTTGCCAAATTTAGCAATGTAGGACTATTCTTTAAGTTCCTTTATCATCTTTTTTGATAGCATGCAATTTCTGTAGTAATGTTCCCTAATCTTATTCTTTAATGGAAAGTTTCACTTTTTTATTTTTGGGGGTTATTAATATATTTACAGGAATTTTACCCCATTATTTTATTTTATGCTATTGTGCTTTTTTGTTTTATCTGTCTGTTTTCTTGCCTAGTTTTGGATTTTTTCTCGTTTCTCTGTTTTTCTTTTTCCAGCAGTACTAGTTGTGAAATTACACATTTTTGCTTTCTTACAGAATTTTCATGTCATCTTGAGATTTTTCTTGAAGTTTTGATAAATGGTTGTCAGATCAAAATTACTATTCCTGTCTTCACTATAGAACACTATAAACTGTTCACCACTCTACCAATTTATGTGCCTTTGTTGCTTGTCATTTTCATTTTCTCTTAATAACCTCATAAATTTGATACTATTTTTTGTGATGTTTGTTTAGGTTAACTCCCTTTCCAGGTTTGTTTTGTCTTCCTTTCCTTTTCCCTGTTTTTTTTTGTTGTTGTTGTTTTGGGAATGATAAAACGCATGGCTTTACACGTGGAAGGCAAGCTTGACCACTGAGCT